TGCAAAAAACGCATCTTCGCACAGGCAGCCCGTGCGTTGGCCAATTTTTTTTTAACCTATTATACTCTGATAATGCTAACTCAACAGACATCAGTTTTAAGAGCTTCCAGAACATATGGGAAGTTCCGAAGCTTTCAGAATGAACAAACGAAAGAATGTCTGTGATAGAAAGTTACCTTTTTCAAGCGGTAATGCCTTCAGTGGATACACCAACTGCTGACGCAAGCTGCAACCACCACTTGGGAAATACGTTTTTTGTGGAACAAAGTACAGAGTGGTTGGGCACATTTTCCAATGTCTTTCCAATTTTCCTGCAAAAATTTAATGCAGCCTGTTTGCGCCGTAAAAGTTTTACGAACAGTGTTGCTGTCGTTTTGTTCCACATAAAGTATTCTCTTATGCATATCTGAAAACAAAAATGCACACGAAATGCGGATCCAAAACGTAAAACAATATAAGTTGGTGCGCCTTCGTGTTCCTCTCCACAACGACGTTCTAGGGGAAAGAAAAAACAAAAGAGATAAAAATCCAACCGATAACGCATTTCCACAGCCCGGCAAATACTCGCAACAACGACGTTTTCCCAACACTACTATCACCTGTTATCAGCAAATTTTTGCCTTGTACAATTTGCATGGAGAGATCTGAAAAGCACTGCATTAGTTCATGGGCCTCGTAATGCAGCGACTGGTTGCCGCGCGGCTTTATCCAGAAAGCGAACAAATCCTCTGCGATTGGAAGCCATTCGTCAAAAAAAAAAGTCGATTTTACTGCGACCAACCATCAACCTGTTACTAAATAATCCTCAAAAGAGGGATCACTCGCAATTCTGTCAGCGAATGGTTACTGTTGGCATCTACTATTTCGGAGTACTCCCCGGTGTCCCCGCTTCTCGTAGTGAACGTAGGGGCTTCGTCTTTTGGCGCTTGTACAAGCCATCACGTCTACGTATGATCTGAGGTAATTGCTGATGCTGATCATGGCACTCTCAGCGGCAATCTGTGAAGAAACACTCATCCTGGTTGTTGCGCAAAAATGGTATTTTGACTAGGTGTCGCAGCAACGGAATGTTCAATGAATTTTTAGCGGTATGAACGAATTACTGCTTGCTCGTTCAGAATAAAGCTGAAAATTCAAAACGAACTGGAAACCAGCGGTATCGACGAATCATTTGGGAAAGCAATGGTGACGGAATCGAGTGTCATGGCAATGCCATCATCAAGCCATTCCGGATGATCATCCCTTTCATGACTTTCATTCGTCCCACAACTAAAACACAGCATTTGAATCACCACTGAGCAAGTAAGGAAACCATACATACTGCTTCACTGAAGAAAAACTCACCGTTGTAACAGGACTTCAGCTTCTTCATCATCTGGCTCAGGATCAAAGTGGCGGCTCTGATGCCCATAGAGCTCTTCGATCTGAAATAGTTGCAACATTTCCAATGTTCCTCCAGAACGACAGTAGATAATCAGACAATTGTCGTAATCCAAAGACAAGTTCTAATTTGCAATGCGATGTTTCACACATTCATTCATCTTATGGATCCCATTACTGACAACGTTACAAAGATTATATATCTCACAAGCGCAATGCGATGAAAGATATATATATATATATAT